CTTATTGACTGTTTTCAAAAGGGTCACACCAACTATGCCAACTTTTTGTGTTAGTTATGAATGGCTATCAATATCAAACGCCCATGAAAACTGACGGAAGGAGACTTGTTTCGTCAAGAAAAAGCTCTAGAACACATGCCCTTAGTTTTAATGGTTGCTGTACGTTAGTATGTTTTTGAACTGGATTGGTCTATCTTCTACTTATTTGATTATAATCTGCCACCCAACACGAAAAACTCTAGGCTGGTTACCAGTATTACTGTTGATGACTGCTCTGACCAACAGGATTAATAGTTTCCTTTGAACAGTCAAATAGTTTAGCTGGAAATAATCTATGCAGTTATTAATAAGAAGAATTTAAATTAATGCTTGTAAGATTTCAAAGTTCTAGCATCACACATTTATAGTCGGCCTATGAACTTTTCAATCCACCCTCATATGAGGTACATTTGATTTTCCTAATGCGAAGAAACATTTCAGCAATTTTTTACTCTTTGTATAATCACAAAAAATTCTGGGCTTTTGAAAATATTCTCATGAGACGTGGCACCCATCGAGAAGAAACCTTCGTCATTCAAAGTTCATTGTACCGAATATTCTCAACATTCTCACTGGATATGCTAATAGCATTGGCTATTTGATTTATAGTCAGTACCCGGTTATCCATCATCATGTGGTGAGGACAAACCATATGTCAATATGGTGCTGGTAGTTACGTGACGTCCAAACCTAGGGGTCAACTTCAAGCCTCTCCGTACACCTCCTAAATTCAGCTGTTTACTTTTGTTCTGTTGTTTTCTCTTCTTGATAGTATTTTTCATATACTCTAACAATCATAACACACTTGCATCTTAGTGGCTTTATTGCCTTACTTTGGGGGAAATAAGTAAAAATGAACATCCTCTAATGTGTCACTCTGTATCATATCCTTGAACAGCACTCTTCTATCCTAATTTTTTAATTTGTATTTTAGTATTAATGTGAACAGGTATGTAAGTTTAGTGGCTACTACATGGAATGTGGATTAACGAACCGAGTTCAAATCTCTCTCAAGGTTGTTGTGTTCCCCTATACAAAGATGTCTTCTAAAATGTATAAATAAATTTCTTCTAGGCAACCATGTCAACATGAATATCTTTAGGAACTAAACACATTTTTGCGGGTACTTGGTAACACCACGATGCTAAATTATGTACATTTTCAAGAGATGTCGTAACTCGTAACTTTTGAATTCTTTTTTGAACCATCAGATATCAGTTTACCTGAGAAATAAACTATGCATTTATTAATAAGAACAAAAAAATTAATGCATGCAAGATTTCACACCTTTTTTTAGTCAGCCTATAAACTACAATGTCACAATGTCAGATTTTCCGTGATCTGATCAGCCTGTGCGCATTTGATAAGGTGTCAGAAGATGTGGAACCTATCGGGCAGAAACCTTCGTCATTCCAAGTTCATTGTGCCGAATATTCCCAACTCTCTCATGAGATATGCTAATAGCATCGGCCATTTGATTTATAGTCAGTTCCCTGTTATCAATTAAAATTAATGTCTCCTCGTTGCTGGTAGCTACCTGACGGCCATAACTTGGGTCATCTTCAAGCCTCTCCATACCCCTCCTAATTCAGCTGTTTACATAAATACTGGAAATTATTTTTCTTTTGTTTGTTGTTTAGGCAAATTTTTCCAAAAGCGGAACAACATTTATGTCAATTTCATTCAAATAGTAAATCCTTGCATCTTTTGCTTTCCTTTTTTATACTCTACGTTTCAACATTGTCTTTAATAGAATGATATTTATTCATCAATTCCAGATTTTGTTTAACTTCAACAGTTAGAGACAAATTATTCCAATGTAATTGTGCGAATATCTTATATTTACGAAATGCATGTCATACCTTCAATTAACTGTAATTGAATCAATTCATTCTCAATAATCAAATCGAGAATTTTGTTAGACAAGAGTACTGAACAGTTATGTAATACCAGTCCTTCTATATGTTAATGAATACAATCCCATCACAGATGAAATAGCAACTTGAGGCAACAAAAACGTAGTTCTACAGAAGGATGTTGAGAATACTATAGATTTAACATACGAATAACGACGAAGTTTTAAGGAAAATAGAAACTAAAAAGCACTTATGCTTAGTTTCAGAAAGTATTGAAATTTCGAGGTTGCATAATGAGGAAACAGGGCTTGGTGAACCTGGCACACACAGGACATGCGAATAGGCACGATGGAAAGTAGAAACAGGGCATAACTAGCTTGTGTAAATGGCTGGCAAGACAGGGCGTAAGAACGACAGCGAAAAGAAATTTCAAGAAATAGTAGAGAGCCATGATCGCCAACCTGCTGAAAAGACACAGGACAAGTTTTTAAAAATGATTCCTATGTCCACAATCAACAAACGATACTATTGTCTCTTCTGCTATAAATTTAGATTTTAAGCACGACATAAAAATACCACACAAACTTTGGGGTTCGACTCCTCATGTAAAATAAATGAAACGGACGGCCATAGTATTACTGGACGTTAAGGCATGTTTGTCTTTAAAGTTCGCTATATCAAGAAATGGCGCAAATATAGGTACAATAAAATTAAATGTTGAGTATAACAATCCCTAATCTAAGTTAGTCGGAGACAGTATCCACTCGGCAAGGGACTGGTTAGTAATAACATCTTCAAAGAATGGCACCTGTTACAATATCATCAGTTCCAAATATATTTCTCGTGTTTGCTCATTCTAACTTTCGAGTACTCACAGGTGAGATCTATTTTTATTTTAATGAAATATCTTTAATTTATATATATATATATATATATATATATATATATATATATATATGTGTGTGTGTGTGTGTGTGTGTGTGTGTGTGTGTGTGTGTGTGTGTGTGCAAGCATTCTCATTGGAATGTATCTGTAGAAGAGACAAAATGAATAAAAAGAGACAAGGAGACAATATACATAACGGTGAGGAAAAAAATTTATTGAATTTTACTCTCTCACTTTACTTTTCAGTTGTCTAGTTTCCTCCACATGTTTTGACTGATCTTTCAACCATCTGATGAACATTCTTAAACCTTGTCAATTTTACAAGCCTTGGTAAACTAATGACAACCTCGTGTCTGTGTATATAAACAGGTTCAGCAGGATAAATCCTACATCGCCTTGATAAAGTCCCTCAGTGGACGAAATCCGTCTGCTAAGTATAGTTTTTCCTCTGGTCTCTTTAGAGATACATACATACATACAATCCACATCTTCTCTTCCTGGCAATGGATTAATTAATAGGATTTGTATCGTTAAACCATTATTATATCACAATATCATTATTGTCTCCAAACAACAATCGAAAAATATTTTTCTCGTTAAATAACCTTAAATAAGTGTTGATAAGTCGTAAAAATGGATCAATCAATCAATCAGTCAATAAATCTTCAGGCCAAATATAGCTTACCTTAAATATATATATATATATATGTATAAAGGTAAGAGGAAAAGGTAAAGGTTAGGTATAGATATAAAGGTAAGAAGAAACGGCGTTTTACAGTTACTAATAATTTTGAGTAACTGTATAAGAAAATAAAATATATGTTGCAATATAAAACCCTCACATTTGCCTTGATAAGGTCCATCGAATGACGAAAGGACGAATATTTCGTTAGTCTTTGGAAAATTAGGTTTATTTTTCCATGTTCCGGGTTTTACATATAATGTTTGAAAGATATGTATTGGTTACTTTCTAGAATTATTAAAAAATTCCAGGTGCCGTCCTGTATGTGACGATAAAATACGTCCAACAGCAAGGTCTCTAATCAGGAGGTTTCGAGGAGCGTGGGACCACCTCTTAATTGCTGGTGTTCCACAGTAACCCGGAGTGGTAGCACCTTTTAGGGTCCCAGCTATGGGTAAATTGTTAATCCCCTAAACTGGGATCAAAACACTATGAAAATGTAAAAATAGTTCTTAATACCAGAAATACTTTGTAAAAAAATGTTACCAGCAACAATTAAAAAAAAAATATTACCAACAAAAAAAAATTGTCTTCATTAAATAACCCATTGTGGTTCATATGCCGTAAAACAAAGCAAACCAAACCAATCCAGACAGTGTAGATATGTTTTGAAGTGTGTATCGGAAGTTTGGTTGTTATTGATCGTTAACATCTTCGACTCATTCTAAAGTTACGTCTTTTATGGACAGGGTGATAGATGTCTAAGCAGGTTTCTGAAGATAAGTTCCGGAGAATGGTGTTTGAAGGATATGTAAGGATATATATATATATTTTTTTTATTGGTCGATGACATTTTCGACACATGCTAAAGTTCCACAAGGTGTCTGTGTCGGCGTGGTAGATAAAAGAAAGAGAATATAGATAGGGAAGAAAAAATTAATAAACTGTCCGTTTTTCCTTTGCTCACTGTTTTGGTTAATCTGAAATATGTCCGCATTTCTGTATTCTATGTCTTTCAAAAGCTATTTTCGTTTTTTATGTGTTTTACTTATCCCGCTCTTTATTCAGTTTTTAGAAGCAAATATTGGCGTAAATAAAGTGACAGAATCAAAGAAACAGAACCAAAATTTAAAGCGATAAGAGAAAGCAAAAAAAAAGCTAAAAGTAAAAAAAGAAAAAAGTGGTAGACTGATAAACACTGAAATTGAAAAATAATTTAAAAAAAGAAATGGTTGTTTCGTATTCTAGGACTTACTAACCGTTGCAAGTTATTTAAAGCCAGGAAATATTTTTAGAGTCTAAGAATTTTAAGTTTAGAGATAATTATTTCATGTGATATAATAATTGACTTTTTCATTTGAAATAATAATAGTTTAGTGATAGACTTTATTTAATTAACCCATATATGGGAGTAGATTTGCTGGATTCATACCTATCTCTTGTGCGTAAGTGAGGATAACGAACCCAAAGGAAATTGGAACTATCTGATTAACAATTCCCAGCTATTATTCATTATAACACCGAACATCCCTGCTTAGAGCACCTGGTATTCCTAAGGGATCATCCATGTAGTTATTGACCAGGCTCGACATTGCTTAACTTCAGTGATCGTACGGGAAGCGGTGTTTTAACGTGATGTAGCCGTAAGCCTTAAAAAGGAAGTTTATACAAGAAAGAAATTATTCAAATCAAAGTCGAGGCCGGACTGGAATAATAATAATAAAAAAACGGTAAAAAAAAAGCTCGAAGAAATGAATAAACCGAAATAAATAACTTAGACGAAAAGCAATTAAATTAATTAGGAAGAAAATAAAGAAGCCGGAAGAAGTAAATAAAACAGAAGAAAAAAGCAGGAAATCAAATGAAAAACGAAAAGAGAAAGAAAAAAGAAAATCAGTAAAAGTAGAAAGATGGAAAAGAACATATAAAAATGATTCCAGCCAGAAGACAATCAGGAGTCCGAAGAAGAAAAAGACGTATCATAAAGATATTATGTTTTCTTCCATGCAATTATTATGTACAGACAAATATAAAAAAAGAAAGCGTGTTTTGAATATCTTGAAAATACTATTACAAATGATGTCCATTAATGTGGAGAGCATGAAAGTAATGTATTGTTTGTCTTCTTGCCGTCTACTGATTCGTACAAGAAAATTGAAGACGTAATTGATTAAATTACAACTTGTTCTAAGAGAAATTTAGTGATGTATCTTGCAAAACTTATTTATATAAAACCAACCGGAATTTAAGCATTCTGTAAGAAAATGAAATATAAAACAATGGTGATATATAGCTAGATCTTTTATCTACATAAAAGGCCAGGTTCAACGGAATGTGAAATCCGTCGGACAATTCGCCTAATGATCCAAATAAGAAATCATCATCCGAATAGAGCCCGCAGAATAATCACACCTGAAATAGGACAAGACCAGTGCGGTTTCGTTAAAGACACCGAAACAAAGAATACGATAGTGTTATATTCCGTGTGAGATCGTTTCAGACAACCTCATCGCCACTGTTATATTCCGTGCTAAGGGAATAAACACTTAACACTAGGTGGATAGTAGAATAACGATTTATTGTACACAAGTACAATATGAATCTAGTCGTGAGTGCCACTAATTAGTAGGTCGGACGTGCTTACGTCGTCTCGCTCACATCTCCTCTCTCTCTGTTTATTTACTGTATTGTAGTGAGATGCAAATTAGTATAATTTGCATATGAGCAGGTAGTTCATATGATAAACGGACACCAACTAGAACAGAGGTCGAACGCTTACTTAGCAATATACACGACACAACAATGGCGTCGCCGATAGGATACTCTTTGGTCCTTGAAGACCCAGAGTACGTAGATACGTGGATTCGTTGCTTTGCTGCTAATGCAAGATGTAAAAAGTTGAAAGCGGAGGGGAAAAATGAAATCACCGACTTGTTCATGGCTACCGCTGGTTGTGAAGCGATTATGAAGGTTGCTACAATGGTTTACCCTCGAGAACTAGAAGAAATGACTTTCGAAGAAATAATTCAGGTTATTAAGGGAAACATGAGGCCAAAGAAAAGACTGGTGATTGCAGAAAGGACCAAGTTTATGGCATTGAAGCAAGAAGTGGATGAACCGATAGTAAAATATTTACACCAGTTAAGAAGTGCGAGTAAATACTGTGAATTCGAAAAACTAGGAACAGGAGAGCAAACAACGGAAGAAGAATTAATCCAACTAAGATTAATTGAAGGTATGCATAATTTAGCACATAGATATAAGTTAATGGAACAGTTACAACTTACAAACATGCCTTTGAATATGTGTATAGAATTTATACAACAGCAGGAAATAATACATACCTACAACCAAAATAAAAAATAAATCCTACGAAGAATTAATGGCCGAAAACATATACGGTACAAACAAAAAAAAAAAAATGTGCGTACTGTGGAAAAATTCATGAAATGAAAAAAAAAAATGCCCAGCCTTTGGAAAACGTGTTCAAAGTGTTTAAAAAATCACTTCAAAGAAGTATGTAAAACGAAAAATGTGGAAAGAGTAGAGGATGAAAATAGACAGATTTTCAATGTAAAAAAAGGATAATATACAAAATACTGGATCTAAGAACGGAGATACAAAATAAAAAGTGAAAATCAACGACTGTATTGTCGAAATGCAAATCGACACAGGTAGTGAGGTCACGATAGTACCCAGAAATTTGTGGGAAAAAATGGGAAAACCGTTTTTAAAAAAAACCAACGTACAATTACGTCAGTTTGATGGCTCGATTATAGCAATTATGGGTTACTTAGAAGGTTCAATAGAACTAAAAGAAAAATATGAAATAGTATCCATTATAGTTACAAATTGCCGAAAAACGCATGAACTACTGAGGAATGACGTGTTAAAAATAAATTCAACGAAGTTGATTAATGAGATGGAAATAGAAAAACAGGAAAATTAAAAAATTATGAAACTAGCCTGAAATTAAAATAAAATGTTTCCCCCTCCTACTACGAAGCGAGAAAAATAAGAGTGCATTTATTACCGTTGGTAATAGCTAAATTGCGAAAGCTAATAAAGGAAGACTTATTAGAACCTTCCCTCCAGGAGGAAGTAAATGGGCATCACCCATTGTGGTATTGAAAAAAAAAGATGGTGACCTGAGAATTTGTGGAGATTATAAAATAGGGGTGAACCATAAAGTTTGTGCTGACTCGTACCCTACTCCGAATGTGGAAGTAGCTTTACATAAACTTGCTGTAATGAAAGTATTTTCGAAGATAGACCTAAAATCAGCTTACCACCAAATACCGATAAATGAAAATTTTAAAGAAGTGACGATAATAAGCACACCTATAGGCCTGTTAAAGTGGAAAAGAATGCCATATGGTATAAAAAGGGCAAGTGAAATTTTTCAAAAGCTATTGAAAAAGTAATAGGAAATTTTGAAAATACCATCTGTTATCAAGACGATATATGTGTTGGAGATTTAAATGAAGATGATTTAAAGAAAAAAAAACTGAAAATATACTGGACCGGCTAAGAGACGCTGGTATGACAATAAATACAAAAAAGTGTAAACCAACAGTAATGAAATATCATTTTTGGTTACTCAATATCAAAGGAAGGATCTCTCCAGATAAAGTACTAATAGAGAAAATTCTAAAAGTTGCTACACCGAAAAATAAAAAAAAAAGTTGAGTCCTTCTTAGGTTTGGTAAATTTTTATAGAAAATATGTACCAAAATATAATGAGTTGACAGAACCATTTGCTAAGTTAAAAAAATGTGGAATTCATTTGGTTAGAACACCAACAGAAAGCCTTTGAAAACTTGGCAAAAAAGCCAATAGTACAAATTTTTTAACCTAAGAAGGACATAACTAACTACTGACGCTAGTGAGCAGTCCATATCTGGTATTTTCTCACAAGATGGACATCCCATAATGTACTTATCGAGGAGATTAACAACAACTGAACACAATTATTCGAATATAGAAAGGGAGGCACAAGCCATAGTGTGGACAACGGATAGAGCAAGACAGTTTTTGATGGGAAAAAAATTCTTGTTGAAAAGTGATCACAGACCACTGGAATTTATTTTCAACCCAAGAAAAGAGCTACCGAAAGTTACAACGTCCAGAATATTACGTTGGGCGATTAGACTGATGGCGTTCGACTTTGACATTGAATATGGTAAAGGGAATACGATACCGCACGTTGATGCCTTATCTAGATTGAGGTTTTATAGAGAGAAGGACAAAACGACGAGGAATTTGAAGACACATTCTTGCACCTTGTAGAAACCGATGTAATATCTGTAGATAAAATGGCTAGTGAAACTACAAATGACCCAGTGTTAAATAGAATAATGTCGAGGATAAAACAGAATCGCTTGGGAAATTGTTCAATGACTGAAAGACCATTCAAAGAAATCAGACATAAAATGACTATAGAAAACGGGATAATATGTAATGGTGACTTGGTAGTTCCCCAGAAACACAGAGAAGACAGGTTATAAAAAAGTGTACACGATGACGTGCATTGTGGGAGTGGCAGCTACGCAAAGAAGATTAAAATTGGAAGCGTGGTGGCCGGGGTACTCAAGAGACGTAGAAGACTACGTAAAAAGATGCAAAAAATGCACAGAACTCAGGAATTTTAAGCAAAAGAAAATACATGTATGGCCCCAAGAAGTAGAACCATGGAGCAGAGTACACATGGACCATGCCTATGTCAATGGGATAGGACTATTATTAATATTAGTAGACACATATTCAGGTTGGCCTGAAGTGGTGAGAGTACCTGATAAAAAAGTACCACCGTAAAACAAATATTAAGAGTAATATTTTCGAGGAATGGGACACCGAGAACATTGGTGACTGATAACGCACCAGAATTTGTGGATGCTGATTTGCATGAATGGCTAAGAAAAATAGGATGCAGACCTTACAAGACCCCTCCCTACCACCCTCAAAGTAATGGGACAGCGGAAAGGATGGTCCAGACGGTAAAGAAGGGCAGGCCGGAAAGTCCATCTGCCTTAATGGGCAGACAATTAAGGTCCCCTTTGACTATGTCATATGCCACAAATCAAAAGATGTGCTACAAAAGAAATAGGAATATGCAACCAGAGTCAGCCGAATTTATGATGCAGAAAGGACATAATACTGCAATATTAAATAAAGAAAATGGGAACAGTGTTCTAGCTCATGCTGACCAAATAAGATCCCAAAGAGAATAATCGGATGAGGAAATGCCTTCAGAGATGCCCATTATTGACGTAACAGAAGAGTTAATGCAGAATGAAACTGCGGAGGAAGAAGTAGAGAGGGATGAGTTAGAAGAGGAAGAAGTAGAATGGGACAAGTTAGAAGAGAAAGACCAGAGTATGCAAGAGGAACAGTTCGATTATAGGGAAAGACGTGATAGATCTAGATCTCCAAGGGAAAGGAGAGAGATAAAGGAAGATGTTCAGGATGGCACAAGAAGTACAAGAAGTACTCGCGGCATAAGGCCCCTCCGTTATAGGGAGATGTAGTGAGATGCAAATTAGTATAATTTGCATATGAGCAACTAGAACAGAGGTCGAACGCTTACTTAGCAATATACACGACACAACATGTATTTAAAATACAATTACGGCACAAGGCCAAAAT